TTTTATTATTTAAATAATGAAAAATCATACAAGTAATGAAATAAATAGTCAAATCATATTACAATAGTTGGGAGTGATTTCATTGTTCTATAATAATATAATGAAACAATCTTTAAAAACTATGTTAGGGCCATATGTTTGACACTTACTTTTAAATATACACTATTTTCATTCTATGAATAATCACACAAAAAATAATTTAAGTACAATATAAAAGGTATCTTTTTAGCCCAACTAATATAGGTCATCCATTTCAATTAGATCTTAGATCTACGGATCTTTTTCCTTTCAAAATTTTTAGATAGTTTTATCGACATTAGATAAAACATTGTTGAAATTGAAAAAAAAAAAAGATTTTGAATTTATAGAGACCTAGATATTGAAATTCACCAAGTGGATGATCTAAATTCATTTTTTAAAGAAACTAGTTTTGGCCATATTCAGGGTGCAAGTTGAATTTTATTTATTTATAGTCTGATTATTGAGATGAAGATAGTGCGTGTGCAAAATTTGGAGTCATACAAATGCCACAGACGTAGTTTTCTAGAAGTGTGTTTTCATCATATTACATTGATATGGTTGACATGAGATCATCCTCCTACAATAATACAATAAAATATATTTAAAAAAATATAAGTAATGAACACAATAATAGTTAAATAAAACTATATTTACCGTGTGGTTTGTATAAGATTGCAACCTTAAAAAATCAAATAAATGTACACTTCCAAATTTTATCATAAATATAAATTTTGGTGTCAATTTTTTTTAGAATGGCTTGAAAATGTATTTTCATATCTAATTATAAAAGTTTAAACTCCAAAAATTGTTCAAATCAAGTAGATCTATAAATACTTGAAAATCTTGAAAATGGATGGTCCATATAATGTATTGCAATATACACTATTTTTAGGACTCAAAATTTATTTTTTCTTTTCATATTCATACATCTCGATGTTGAGGTGATCAATTAGAGGGCTTTCTAACATCAAAACAACTTTTTATGATGGGCTTTTGAGGTGCACCTTAATTCTATATTTAAAGTTTCAATCTTATATTGTTTTTCATAAATAATATTCAATTAAAGAAACAATAATATGTAAAAAGTATTATTTTCTACTTTATTGAATTTTAAATAAAATATAAATGATTGTGATGATTCTTTTGTTGTCTAAGGCGTCAATTTAATTTTGAAAACATCATCCACTTCCACCAATGCACCCAAGACAAATTACAAAGCAAATGAGCTATAGATGCGGTATTTTGTTAGTAATCTTTTGAGGACCGGCGCTTGTTGCATGAGTCTATCTCACATTTCTAGATATGAAACGAAGTGTAGTGTAAATATCTCCACATATATCATATGTTCACTTATTAATATTGCAGGTTTGAAAGTGTATGGAGCAGTGGTTTAAAAAACGGATCACTGTCCTGGATCAGTGAATCGTCGATTCGGATCAAGAATCAGCCGAATCGATCAGATTAAGCCTTAAAAAAAGTCTAAAAATTTTATTAAAATTCATTATAAATGTTGTTTTTTAAAAATCTAATTAGAAATGAGGATACTACATTATTAACTTTCATTTTTTTCATCAATATGTGAATATTGAGATGTTTTTTTCCTGTATGTCCTTATGTTAACTATTAAATTTACATCACATGAAAAAAAAGAATCATAGAATTATCATAGATGAAGTATATAATCATACATGGACTATAATTAATAATGGATTAAATCGATGAAAAAATGACAACCAAAATCTCGAATTGACGGAAAACCAATCCTCTAAAAAAAACCCAAAATTATTACAACCTAACTAACTATAAAAATTGTTGGTTTACATTCTATAGTTATTTTATTATACAAATATTTTTAAAAAAACATTGAAATTACCTGCCTCTTTTCTATCAATATGTTTCTTCTCTGTCTCTCTCTCTTTTGAATCTATAATCCATTCTCTCTCTAAATTCTCCAAGAGGCTTCCTTCCTCTCTTCTTCTTTCTCTCTCAAAAATCAGTATTCCGATCTCTCTCTATTTTTTTATCTTTCTCTAAAATCTGTAATCCAGTATCTCTCTCTCTAAAAACAACACCTTCTTGTCTTACCATGAATAAACGAGAATAGCACGGTGCTTGCAAAACCGCTCTTTCCACCATATGGATCTACTTGATTTTAATCATTTTTTTATTTTAAAAATTTATAATAAGATATGAAAATAGATTTTGAGATAATCTTAATAATTAACAATTTTGTATACCAAAATTGCATGTTATGATAAAATTTGGAGGTGCACCATAATTGGAATGTTCACGGTTGCAACCTTATAAAAACCACACCCAGAAAGGCAAAGCTCAGGAGAGAGGGCTCTTGTTAAAAGTGTGGAAAGGGTAGATATCTAAAAGTGTGGAAAGCGTAGATATACTTTTAGATATATCCACTTTTAGAGCAACATGGACACATGTGTCTACGGGTTGAACCACATGTCACTTGATGGACACGGACACATATGTCGACACTTCTAAAAATACATATGACAGTGCCATATAGTGTCTACTGGCGTACCCATTTTCTAGATATATTTCATTTTTGGAATTTGGCATTTATTTGAAAATATCATTCTTCAACTAATAATATTTTATTTTTAAAATAAACATATTTTTGAACAATAGAAAATAAAAAAATATTTTTATTTTCTATTAAAGGTGTGAGTGTTATAATCACATGATTTTGGATGGATACATTAAGACCCTGTTCAATAACCATGCAATCAGGGTGCAATATTTTGAATTAATAATTAACTAATGGTTTTTAGTTTTTTTCCATGTAGTTTGACCCAACCTTGCCATTGGACTATAATAAATATTTTATGAATAAAATTATGATTCATAAAATAACAATTTTAAAATATTAATTAATTTATTTTTTATGATGCTTTACTATATTTATAACATATAAGTTATTGAACAAACATATCATGTTCAGATGTTGGTGTTAAGTTTACATTTCTGATATCACATCCGTGTCATAAGTCAACACATGTGTCCATTTCTATAGAACATGAAGGTAGATCCTCGTAATGAGAATACATGAAAAAGAGCTGAAAAAGGCACGTGAGCTCAAGATGGATATATCTAAACGTGTGGAACGGGTAGATATCAGAATGACGGTACATCAAAGGTTTCAATGGTCAGATCTGGGTTTGAATGGCAAGTCACATGAATCTACAGTGTCCATGCAATTCCATATACATGACACAGATTGTCGCGTTTTCACAGCTCTTCTATCAGACAAGTAATGATAATGTGGAGTCAATATATTCACCATGAGTTCAATGTATGATTTGATGAGTCTAGCAAGTTTTAGTTATGTACGCGGTCACATGTAGAAATGCGGGCTTTTAATAAATCTATTTTTGAGATGGATTTTTAGACTTAATTTTTAAAGATATGTAATCTCTAACATGGAGATCATGAATATTAAAAGATAAATAAATTTTAAAAAATTAGAAATAATAATTCCTTTAATAACACATTTAGACCGTTAGTTTCAATTGTTGTTTTTAGATGGACCACATATTTGCATCCATCTTTAAAATGGGTTCTTTATACTTTTGGACCACATATGTAGAAATGCGGTCCAAAACAATTTTCCTTTGGAAAGGGAATTTGGCTAATTTATGAACGTAGATCAAGTTGAGGTGAGATTTGCGCCATTCGAGTACTCTTTTAATAGTTGCAGTTTTCGATAAATTACTTAACTGGAAATTATGGAATTTGTGTGGACTTTCCCAACTTTTGGTGACCATATGGCGCATGAGAAACTTTTAAGGGTGTCTATAAACCTAGACTATACTTTTTTTTCGTTTTTAAGAAAAACTTCAGACACCCCTCCTCCCCCTGAAAAACACGTTTGATACCACACTCTTTAAATATGTGCTGATCTTAGAATTGAGATTAACTCAAATTCTTACAAAATGAGTTAAAAGAAACATTTTTGATACCACACAATTTAGGGTGAACTTTGGGACAATTCTAATGAGTCTAGGTTAGGCTTAATATGGTCTTTAGGACTTGAAATTTGAGGCTTTTAAGCAAATTTTCTCATAGGTGTTAATCCTAATACTTTTTTCTTTTTTTCAGCCACCCCCTCGAATACAAAAGTTTATCTATTTATTTTTACCAAAATACTCTCTTATCGATTATCTTTCTAAGCCAAACTGACACAAAACGTGTCGAACAAGCACAACTTGTAAAGAGCCAGTTCGACGCATTTTTTGTGCCAGACCAGCTCTATATTCAACGTGTGTTGGTCACATACATTTTTGTGCCACAACTTGTATAGAAGTTGAACATATTTTTTGGGTCGAACCGGCTCTAATTCAACTTATACTAGTCCAACACATTTTTGTGTTGGACCGACACCAGTTGGAAGTCAGGTAGATTGATAATTATATAAAAACTTAGAAAATAGAGGGTCTAGATAATATGTTGCAAGATGCACTATTTTTGGGAGTCGAAATCATTTTCTTTCTATCTCTATATATCTCAATATCGAGATGATCAATTGCAGGGTTTTCAACATTAAAATAATCTTTTTCAATGGATTTTAGAAGTGATATAAGGTTGGAACTTTATATGAACTTTTCCCTTGTTACTTTTCTTAAGCCCATAAAAATTTTGAAATAGACTGTTCATATAATGTGTGCAAGATGCATTATTTTAAAGACCTAATATCTCTTTTTTTTCTCCATATCTATAATCTTGATGTCGAGGTTATCGATTAGATAGTTTCTTAACATCAAAAGACCATTTCCTAAAGATCTTAGAATTGCACCTTAATTGTGCATTTTAAAATATCAAATCTTTTATAAGCTATTTCATTTTTGTTTTTATTTATTTATTTATTTATTTTTTACGGAGAATATTTTTGCAGCGCAGAACCTCTGCGGTTTTATTCACGAAAGCCGAATACCCACGTGCGTGCACATGTGCGCCTCCAGGTCAGCTCGATGGTTTTTTAAAAAGCAGGGGGAAGCGAAACCTCATTCCTGTATTTTATTGAGAGAGAAAGAGGATAGTCCTGTAATTTAGAGAGAGAGAGATTGTATTTCATCCTGGATTCCTTTTTGTTGAGAGATATTTGTTTCTCTGTCATTGAGATTTGAGAGAAATTTTTTTGATGATCGATTCCTTTGTGGAGAGAGAGAAGCTATGGATGGAAAGCTAGGGTGCGTAGTGGCAGCGGTTGATGGCGGAGAGGAAAGCATGAATGCGTTAGGATGGGCCCTCAATAACCTAAAGCTTCGACCGCCGTCAAGTCCAGGTTCGGACGATGCAGGGAAACTGGTAATCCTTCACGTTCAGTCCCCTCCTAACATTGCTGCTGGCCTCAACCCAGGTGGCATCCCCTTTGGTGGACCCAGTAAGCCCTTCTCTCTATCTATTGAATTGCTCTCTCTCTCTCTCCCCCTCTCTATCTCTCTCCAATTTATCGAACCGGAATCTCTCTCTCGATATTTCCATTTGTATGATTCAAATTATCTTTTTTTTTTTTTTTGGGTTTCTGGATGTTGTAATCCTTTGATACTTACATGGACATCTGGTTTGAATTTCTCTTCCCTTTTCGTTTGATCCAATTTGACTCCTTTGTAAATCTTTGACATCTATTGGTCACTCTTTATTCAATTTCTTCTAATGGATTTATCGATATCATCTGAGATTTGAATGGTAGTTAGTTATTTTCTGTTTTAGTCCTTCTCTGCAATTTTTATTTTGGTAATTTTGCAAATTCATTATAAAAAATCTTACTGAATTTGATTTCTTTCAACTGTTATTTATTCCCAATACCAGCTTACCGATTATTATGGTATTTATCTCTAATATCTGTCTAGGTTTATTTTTATTTGGTAATACTCTCTATCCTCCCCCTCTCTCTCTCTCTCTC